TTGTTAGTAATTTTTTATCACTGATGTAAATTTTTAATGTAAATTTTATTTTTAATAACATTTTTTACTGTAAAGCGCCATGAGCCCTGGATATGGCGCAATACAAATCTATTATTATTATTATTATTATTATAGTTGGCTTTTTTCTGCGCATATAAGTTAATAAATAGAGATTAGAGAGGAAGACACATCAGCCTTACTTGGTTTTCATGTGGATCCCCTATTCGGGTCGGATTGGGATTAGGATATGTTGATTTTTGCGGAGGGAGGAAAACCGGAGAATCAGAGAAAAACCATCGGAGCAAGGCGAGCACTAACAACAAAACCAACTTACGTATGCTACCAGGCCGGAATCGAATCCCGACCACATTGGCGGGAGGCGAGCGGTCTCGCCACTGCGCCGTTCCTGCTCCACTAATGACTAGAGCCTGAATCTCAGTTAAAAAGTAACTAGAGTGAAAAAAACTGAACCACATTATTTCGAAAGCCCAAAGCAAGTAAAAAGAGGTTGATTAGCTCTCGTTTATATATGTCATAATCTCAAAACTGTAATTACGAGCGATAGAAAAGTGAATAAACTAATATAGGTTTATTCCCGCTCAATTGAAATCTTCTGGATTCCATTCAAAAACTTTCACACACTTTCCTCGCACTAAGAAAACTTATTTATTACAAACAGGTTGTTCGCGCGAGTCTGAACAGAGAGTGCAAATGCCATGGCGTCACCGGGAGTTGTAATTTGATAACTTGCTGGAAGCGGCTGGCGCCTTTCACCCTGGTGGGATCCAAACTGAAGGAGATCTACTATAAAGCTGCACGGGTATCATTTCAAAACAACATACTGCAAGAGAGAGTTAAAAAGCCACCAAGAGCTGTGTCTAGCAAGGAGAAAAAGCTGGTCTACCTTGACTCGTCCCCAGACTACTGCGTCAGGAACGACAGTGTGGGATCTCCAGGAATGGTGGGAAGGACATGTCGGGATGACGAAGTGTCCACGACCAAGTGCAGATCTCTGTGTAACTCTTGTAAAATGAGGCATCAAACAGTTGAACTTTTCAAACAAGTTAAATGTAACTGTAAGTTTGTTTGGTGCTGTAGCGTCAAATGCCAGATCTGTCCTAAGAAGTTTTCGGTGACAACATGCACAAGAAGGTAACTTACTGCGCATGACGCAAAGCCTCAAGGGAAGATTCGACCAATCAGATTGCTACGATATTCAGGGTCTTTTATCCAATGATGTTTTCCCGCCAAAATGTACGGCTTCCGTCACATAGTCACCGCGCTGCGAATTCTTTCATCCCGCGAAAAAATCCGTCAGCACGGGTTTAGAATGGAAATTGCCTTACTTTTTCGATTTAACTACTCTAGATGTAGCGTCTTTTCTGGAATAAGTACCCCTCCTTTAAATGTATTATAAATGTAAAACATTCCTAATTGAAATTAAAAGACTAAAAAGCAGTCTTAGTGAGGGTATGAAGTGAGAAAAAAATAACGCTTTTTAAAAGATAAAAATTGACGAGGGGAAAACTGAAATTTCTCTGCAAAATGAAAACAAAAAAACAAAAAAACAAAAAACAACGAAATATCAGTGGTTGAACGCATGCTATGATAGGATAGCCAAGAATATTACTCGGAAATATTGTATACATGTTGATTATTTGTCATGGTGGCAGTTAGGTATTCAGTCAAGAGGGAGCCGCAAACAGTTTCTCAACCGGCCATTTTCGTATTCTCGGTATTGGACTGGAACTAGCTTGCAATGGAGGCTCATGCGAGGGAATACCCGTATTAGCCTCAGTTGCAAGCTAGTTCCAGTCCAATACCGAGAATACGAAAACGGTCTATTAATTGTGCTCGTAAAAAGATGCTTTTCAGTTGTAAAAGTTATCTTCATATGTATATATATAGGCTAAGTTTGGTTTAACGTTCGAGCTGTGTCGCTAATTAGATGCATGCTGATTTACAAATGCTCTATTTGAAGCTGAATTGACGCTGAAAAAGTATGAAATTATTTTAATCTAGTTTCATTTAATGGAGTGATGGAAGCCATGTATAGGTACTGCGATATCGCACATTCATCCTCTATGTCAGGTAAAGAAGACTCTGTTAAATTTGTTTAAAACTAATAAACATTGAACATAGTTGAGAAACCTTGCCTTTTGTAGGTGGATAATTAATAAGAGAACCTGGAGGAACATTGCGTTAAAAGGGAGCTTAAGCAAACCATGACGACGACAGCAACGAGAACGTCACCAAAAAAAGGTTTAATGAGCGGAACAATGGCTGTGCACGTGCGTTATAAATCTTTGTACATTTCTTTGCCAGCCTCTGCAAAACAAGAACGTGAACTGACCAAGTTCGGCGTAGCCTGAGGAAAGCGAACTACCACGGCAAATTTTTAACATTTCCATTTGGAATTGAACGCTTTCACTACATATTTAGCCTGAACATGTTTTTAGAGCCATTGGCGTACTGAACTGATCTAGACTATCGCGAATTTCGCTGGTAAAATATAAATTCATTTTTGACTAGGCGTCGTCCAAGGCTTCGCCGTCGCCGTCAGGCTTAATTAAGCTCCCTGATATGATGACAGCAAAACTCTGCGTTAACGGAGTTTTATTAGTCCTCAGTCTTCGAAACGAAAGAGGGCCTCACATCTGGAGATATTGGATGCTCTCCTAGTCCCCTTAATAGGGCGATCTTTGCTGACGTTTTTGTTTACATTTTTCCTCACTAGCATACGACTTTGCACAGAGAAGGCATCACGCTAGACACGAATTGACTCTAAACATTTAAATAGCTTGTGAGACTTAGTATCTCGTGAAATGTCTGGCTCCGTGGGTGTAATTTTCAAGGACAAATGGGCTTTCAAAAACTGCAAAATTTTTTGGGAGGCAAAAGCTCTAATGAGCTCATAAAATCTTTGTAAAATTTGGAGTTTTTAAACCCGCGTCGCACAAAAAGTATTTAATACATCGGGCTCAAATTCCTTGGGACAGTTAATCGTGCTGTGCAATTTTAATATTCAGGTCTGATATTTTAGTAGCTTGCATCAGAAACTGAATCTCTTATGCTAACGAGGCAAATGTTGTAAACAAAGATCCCCCTCTTGTTTGTCTACCATGTGTTCTTCCTCATATGTAAATGAGATCCACTGTTATACAATGCATGATCAAAACAGGACCAAAACACGTTAACAGGTATCTGTCAAAGTCTTAGTTATTTTCATTGGCATGGCAAAGAGGCGTTCTTTAAAAATTAAAAATGATCTGTCTCTTTGATCCTGCATAAATTAGTTTTCGTTTAAGAGGATCCAGACACAGGGGGTAACTACAAATTGAGTGTAAGTATATTTTTCTTTTAAATTGTCAAGAATTTTCCAAGTTTAGTAACTTGAGTTTTTTTTAAAAAGTGTCATTTTATTTGCATTCAAGTTTCATGTAGCGCAAACAGGTAAACACTAGAAAAACTTCCCGCGCAACTGGTGGTAATTCGGTGCTTTTTGCGTTCATGGCAATTGCGTTCAAGTATTTCTTAACATGTTCCTCTTTCTTTCATGTGCCTTCACTTGATAGAGCCGCAAAGATCGGTGCCTGGTGAGAATGACTTATCTGTCAAATCGTACAAGTTTTTAACATTAAATTTTCAAACATGCAGCCGTAGATCACAATTCTACCGGTGTAACATGAAAAACCTTTTTTCGCCCCAGTCTCATCGCAAATTTCTAACAAAGACAGCACTTCTTGGAAGTGAATCACGTGCTATGTCTGATAGAACCACGTGATCAACACGCAATCTTGCTCGCTCGGGACTACCCGCTGTGTCCTGCAAGAAAATAGCGTTCTTTTACGGTATAATAAATCCTTTATTGACCAAGCTTGTTCGGTCAATTGGCCTCGTTCTTTATATGCGTGTTTATGATCCTCGACTCCGTCTCGGTCCATAAACAAGCTACATTTTGTGTAAACGCGCAAATAAGAACTTGGCTAATATCCGAGCCATCTTGACCGAACAAGCTTTCTCAATGACCCATATATATTATATATACATGTATCTGATAATATTTAGATACAATTTTTAACTCCACAGAGCCTTTTGGTCAAAACAACAGAATGGCCAAAATTGTGGACGCTTTATGCAGCTTATTATGGAGCATCATCTGGTTGATAATCTTATTGCTTCTCGCTCTGCCTATTGGCTTCATAGCTGCCATCCTCTACGTGCTTGTATCGCCATTTAACGCCTGCTGCGACTGCACTAAGAGTCTGACGGATTTCTTCATGAAGGGAATCAATTTTCCCTACAATGCTGCACATAACTGCGTCAACGGAAAGCGAGGGTGTTAAATAAGAATCTCCTGGATGATGAACATGTAATAAATCAATTACAAGACCGACGTCTAAGTTATAAACCGCGATCCGTCATGAATATCTCCCTTCATTAACATGTGGCCAGAATTTCACTTGTACAGACACTTCAAAATCTACGACACAAATTTCTGCTTGTAATTTTCCGCTTGCGGGAACATTAACGGTGCTAACACTATCTAAAACTATCTTTGAGGTTTACCAAGAGTAGCCTCAAACTATAACCTGCCAAAGAGTGTGCACAAAGGCAGCCAAAAAAACAGCAAGACTCTTTTGTAATTTTACAAATAAATATCTTAGGAAATAGATGTATCGAAAGTTGACAATGCTCAGTGAAGCTGGTTAAAAACCATTTCTCTCCCTCCTCCNCCCCGCCGCTACCCCCCGATCAGTCCGTAACGAAAGCGCTAACTCTGCGCCACGCCACTCCCCCTTCCCCATGCCCGGCCACAAAAACTTAGCGTTTGGGTCTGGAACGAGTAAAGTTTTCGAGCCCGCATTTCCTCTAGAGAAGAAATCGAAGAGGCAAGAGGGCTTTGGCAGAGGGTAATAGCAGTTTTTGTCCTCTTATGTCTATATCTTCAAGATTTTCCAAGGTGGGCTAGGTAATCTAAACGTTCATGAACTTTATAAGACATTCTGTTCGCCTAAAGCGTATCGGAGGACATCTGAGAACTCGCCAACCCGTGAAAAATGTCAGCCGTAGTTTGAGCAACGGACAAGGTAAGGGATGACCAGGAATACTTAGAAATTAACACAGAGCTTAGAATTATTAAGGATTGATGCACCGTAATGGAGCAATATGATCCAGAAGTAGACTGACCATCCAAGTCTTGTTATAACATAACTGACATTTTAATGACGTCTTCAATGTTGCTCAAGCCATGGTACATTCCCCCCCACCTCCCTCCGAAAGGGTTTTTTTGACGGGCTTATGTCTGATGGGGTTTGGTAGAAGAGTCCCTTTTTTGTGAGCTTGTAAAGGAAAATCAGGTTATCCCTGCTAGTGGGGGGAAGGGATGGAGAGAGCGTGATGTTGCCAACTATCTCATTTTCATAAGGGGTAGATTTTGATTAACCTCACCTAAGGGGGTCAGGGTGGACATAAAATGGAATTGTTCTTTTGAGCCAAGGGGGAATTTGGGAAAAATTGGAAGTCAGTGATAATTTTTCGATATCAATTATTTGACAAATGTTTCGAATACAGAGTTTGTTAAATAGGTCATTTCCGAGTTACCTTGCAAAACCTTTCATTTGAAAATGAGTTTGATTTGCATGAAAAAGAACCTGTAATGGGAACACATTTCCATATGAATGGTTTTGCACAAAGACTTAATTTGACACAGAGGCACAAGACAACTTAGAAATAGCCCATTGTCATAGGATGTGAGAATCAGCTTAGAAGATAGAAAGCCAATATAAAATGCATATTTGTCTACAGATTTACATGTAATTGTGTCTTGCTATGTTTTTATCTTATCAGATTCGCATGAATATGATCTCATTGTGATTGGTGGTGGATCTGGGGGACTTGCATGTTCAAAGGAAGGTGCGAAGAGCTTGATTTGTATTAAATTTGATAGTGAATATTTATTGTTTAATTTATGCAAAAGATTTATGTTAAATTATTTATAATTTATTCATAGTTTAAGTTAGTTGATGTGGTAACTGGCTTGTAAATGAGGCATAACTCATGCCAAGTTGTATTGTTTCTCTTACAGCCGCTAAGTATGGCAAAAAGGTTGCAGTCTTGGACTATGTCTCTCCCTCCTCACAAGGTAAAGATAAAGAATGTAGATTTCACTTTGGTTTAATTCTGGATAGTAAACTCACTGTGAGAATGATTTTGCCCACCTGGTTCGACCATCTAGAGAAAAGTTTTTCTTATAAAGAAGTTCAGTTCAAGCAGTTTTGCGTACCTGTGAAAACCAGTTGCCCTTGTGCTGAAAACGTCAATGCAACCCCTGGTAGTCTGTATATCATGTGGCCTGTTGTCAGTAAGTTATTAGTTTTCTTACTGACTGGCACAGCTAATCTTTTATTGTGTTGTTCAAGGTTCCATTTGGGGCCTTGGTGGAACCTGTGTCAATGTGGGATGTATCCCTAAAAAGCTGATGCACCAGGCCGCACTCCTGGGAGAGTCATTCAAGGTACAGTGATATATAATGTACTTCATCAACAGTTTTAGTTGTAAAAGAATACAGGTTCAATTTGAAAAGAATGCCAGAACATAGCTGCTTTTTTATGTAAGCATCAATAAAATTTCTATAAAATTTATTTCAATCACAAAATGCTTTTTTACTATACTTTCAAGAGAAAGAAATAATTTAGAGATCTTGCACAGCGCAAACCAACCATTCTTGTACGCATGCCTTCTTTTAAGAATAAAAAGTTATTATCAAAATAAGCAGAATTGCATGTTTGATCTTCATTTCTAAAGATTTACTGTTTTAAATGGATAAGTGGTACCTCCTGTGGCTCAATGTTAAATTCATTTCACTCTTTGACATAAAGTTGGCACATGATAATGCCTCTGATCTGCATTCTCTCTTAATTTAGGATGCAAAACATTTTGGATGGAATGTTCCTGAAAATATAACCATTTCATGGTATGGATCCATAGCTGGTATGAGCATTAACTCAAAGAACTTGAATTCCTTAATTTTGACAGAATTGCTTTACCTTTACGTCACAGGGAAGCACTTGTGAAGGCTGTACAGAATCATGTCAAATCACTGAATTGGGGCCACAGAGTTCAGTTGCATGACAAGTAAGTGACATTATTATATCGATATAATGTGTGCTCTGATTGGCCAATTGTAGGACATTATTCTACCCTAATGCCCACGGGCCGATCGCAGGCCTGCAAAACTAAAGCAAAAAGCCATATAATAAACAACTTATCAACCTCCTACATTTGGTCTTTACAGGAAAATCTCAAACCTTGCTATCGCTATCGCTCGGTCAATACAGCAAGGTGTCAGTTTGAGATTTTCCCGTAGAGACCTTACTCTTGGTTAATAAATAGTTAATAATACCCAGATTGAAATGGTGAACTCAGTGTTATAGCAGCCGAATTATTGTGTCTTTGATATTTTGTTTTTCATTGTAATGTGGTTGTAATGGTGTCTGTCTTTTTCAGAAAGGTTGAGTATCTTAATGCGAAGGGATCATTTTTGGATTCTCACACAATTAAGGCAGTGTTAAAGAATGGTACTGAGGTACAAGAATTTATCTGATTAAGACTTCCATTCGAAAGACTAACTGCCACAGACAGTGTGAAATTAAAAAGAAACTTATTGCAGAAATAAGCAACATGCTCGCACAATAGCTTTCATTTGCAGATTGAAAAGCTATCTACAGCATAACAAACTGTACCACATGAAAATATTGTTCAGTAGCTTCCATTTGAGTGGCCACACTCTAGGTTTTGATATCGTCAACTACTTTTATCGATAGACAATAAAGTAACAAAGCATATCTTCAGAGGGAAGCCTTGCGATAAAACTAACTGTTGATTTCTTGGAGCATTTAATTTGGACTGCTAAAATTAAAATCAAGTGGCTAGCCATGCTAAACTTTTATTGATATTATACAGTGTGCAACTCACAGCCCACATTACTTCAAGAAATGAATGCATTGTGTTTGAAGCCTGCAGGGTTTTGTTTATAGAACTATACCAGCAAACCTGAACATTAATATTTCTGACCAGCTGGTCACTAATGAATTTGTATACATGCTCTTGACTTTACTTATTGACTTTTCAGAAAACTCTGCGAGCTGAAAATTTTGTAATAGCTGTTGGTGGAAGACCAAGGTTTCCTAAAGAGGTCAGTTTTACGAATGGCTAGAGTGAAATCTGATTTTCCTTACAGATTTAACATGTTTATCTATAAAGTAAACAGGCAAAATGCAATTGACCATACAGTCATATTTGTCTTTTTGTAGGTTCCAGGTGCAGTTGAATATGGTATAAGCAGTGATGACATTTTCTCCTTAAAAAAGTCCCCAGGGAAAACGTAAGTCTGGTATGCATATCTGTTTTGGTAACAGACTGACACCAGACCGTTGCAACTTGCCACATACGTTTTTTTTGCGTGACATGTGCACTAATGGCCTGTAATAATATTGGCTCTAACAGCATGGATTTCATATCAAGCTCTAAAGCACTTAAAATTTTGGTTTCCTTAGAAATTCTTCTCTTCGCATTTCATATTGGCAGAAAAAAGCATGTGAGTTACAAGTATGTTTACAAGATAACAATGTAGTTACTTATTTTTTTTGTTTGATTTTTGCAGGTTAGTTGTTGGTGCCTCATGTATCCTGTTGATGTCTTGTTTTCCATCAACACCTTTGTCTTATTTAGTTATAACCTCCAGCGTGCTTTACTCAATGCAAAGATTGACTTTAATTTGTAATCCATTGAAGAACATTTGTCCTTTAGTGAGGCCTAAGAATCTTATTGCAGTCATGACAATCTTTATTGGTATTACTGGTATCTTTCATTTTTGGCAGTTTTAGGTAATTTTAAATCATTATGTTTCTGTTTCCTTTCATTTGAAAACAATTTGGTCCATTGTACATTCATTTTAGATTTTTATTTTATTTTGTGGTAGCTTCTGTTGTGTTCCATGTTCTTCTTGTCCAGCAGATTATCATTTTCCTTAACAATGCTTTATGTAAGATGTTGCCTTGGAGTGTGCTGGTTTTCTGACAGGTCTTGGATTTGACACATCATTGATGATGAGATCCATTCCCCTCAGAGGGTTTGACCAGGTCAGACTGGTTTATTGCCTCCTTTGATTAGCAAAGGAATTCTTATTTCCCTAGCTTGATTTTCAAGTTATCTTTGCATCATCTCTGATAAAGGGTCTGGAGTGTCGTGTCATGTTGTGCACACTTGCAAATACCGGAGCTTTGTAGAAACCACGATCCCAGGCTCTCTCTCCTTTGCCCTCCTCTGCCCCAACGACAAGGGAGGCAAAGGAGAGAGAGCCTGGGATCAATGTTGGCCTTGTACCTAAGTTTCCGTCTCATGCCTAGCCCTGCTCATTTTCGCACAGGTAACAAGGATTGTAGCCTCAAGGAACGAGATTGCCTCAGTTTCATGTGTTTTTTTTCCACGCCTTCCATTTACTTCCTGTCACATTTTTTTGCGTCAAAATGAGACCTGGCTAGTAGTAGTACTTGAGAAAACTTGAATTTTTTATCTCTCATATTTGAATCAAAACCAGTATTCTTTGTTCCCCCAGCAAATGGCACAACTCACTACTGATTACATGGAGAATCATGGAACAAGATTTCTGAAGCAATGTGTGCCAGTCAGGATAGACAAAGCTGACAATGGCCTACTTCATGTAACATGGAAAGAATCTGTGACGGGTGAATCACACCAAGAAACATTTGAAACTGTTTTGTTTGCGATTGGTAAGTCTGTCTGTGGAATGAACTTCTTTTAAAACCAGGGTAAACCAGAACGAGAGTTGAAAAGATTCACTCTAGTTTGCCCACTAACTTTGATGTGTTCCCATGGACTTTTTGTACTCTCTCTCATAATTTAAACTTGTTCAAATTTCTGTTACAGTGGACAAGTGTTTCAATCAAATGTATTTGCGCACATAGGAAACTCTAAAATTGTCGAAAATTTAAAGTGGCTCTGAACCCCATGTAGAGAATTTTTCAAACTTTCTCAAATGTTGCATCTTATCCTACTTATTAAAATCGATAATAAAAAAAAAGAGTTTCACTGTGCCTTTTTTGAATTATAAACCCTTAAAGGTAAAATTAAGGGATTTTTAGCAGGATATACTGTTGTTATGGTAACCTGTTGTGTCACGAAAATGATAATAATGTGTTCACCGGTGATTGGGCAGCTTTTTGACATCATGATTGCAGCATGATAAAGCGTGGTTGTAATAGCACATCAAAATCAAGTCTTTGAAAGTGCTGGAAACTGTTTTGAGCCACCTTACGTTTGTTCAGCCTCAGTGCTACCTAGTAAGCCATTGTCATTTGTCGACCAATGGTCTTTCTATTGAGTCATGCTTTTTCATTACTAGAAATAATCTAAATACTACACTAGACAACAATTTCCCAGTTTTAGCTGCTATACTTGGGTAGAATCAAGTGACTAAGAAGGAGCTTTTAACTTCAGGTAGAGACCCTGAAACGTCTCAGTTGAATCTTGAAAGTGCCGGAGTACAAGTGCATCCGCAAACCAAGAAAATATTGGGAAACAACAATGAACAAACCACAGCTTCACACATTTATGCAATTGGTGACGTCCTTGAGGTAAAAATATGATAGCTGTACTATATTCAGTTAGATTTCCAAACGATTACTTTTCAAAGAAACGGGTTTGCTACGTAGGCATTCAGGTAAATCACTTATTTATTTATCGACTTGAAATCGATGAAGCCATAGCAAACTTGCAAGCTTATGTTTAATAACCACCTGTTTAAATAAATTGCTTTTGTCTTGGAGGAAGAGCTATCGCTCGAACGGTTGACTTTCTAAATCCGCCACGGTGGTATATTTGCTCAATCATCTACCAGTAGAGTTAAGTTTGATTTGCCCAAGTTGCTGATTGTTTGAATCCACCTGCGGCAGACGGCCCTAGCATCAACTAGCAGTATTTCTTCTTCCTTCCCTTGCACCCCCCCCCCCCCCCGCCGCCTTTCAATGAAATGCTAGTCCATCGGAGGGTTGGCCCGTGGCAATAAATTCGTCGGTACCCATTTATACACCTGTGTGGAGAGAGGCACTTTGAGAGTAAAGTGTATCACCCTAGAACACAAACAACCCAGTGACCCAGGCCCTGAACCCTAATCTACAAAGATTGTGGACAATTTTCGTTCAAGCATCCCTTTCCCCCCGACTGTTTGCGCTAGTAAAACTAAAAGTGATTTTCGCTCAGTAATCAGCAGTTGATGTGTTACTTGTCATACTTGCGTCGCTGATAGCACCGTCCAGAGTTGACGCCTGTGGCTATCAGGGCCGGCAAGCTGCTCGCTGATAGGCTGTTTGGAGGGTCTGACGTCACGATGGACTACAGCAAGGTAGGTCACAGGATTACCATGCTCTATTTTACGGGCTTGACCACATTCATACCATACTCCGTTCGAATACAGTCATACCATTCTCTGTTTTAACTCGGTAATTCCATAATCTGTTTTAACACATGCATACCATCTTGTGTGTACTTTGAAGTCTAACGGTAAAACTAATAACAATTATATGCTGGAACTTTTCAAACCTGCAGGTAGCCACCACAGTGTTTACACCGTTAGAGTTTGGAACAGTTGGACTGTCAGAGGAGAAAGCCATTGAGTCCTATGGAGAAGACAACATTGAGGTCAGTTTAGTTTACTTCGCTACAAAGAAAAGGGGAATGGAAAGAAGTTGAGCTCGATCGTGAAGACTTAGCTATCATTAAGCTATCTGGCGGAGAGCTGACGTTTGCATATCTCTACTCGTTCTTCAGGTATACCACGCCTTTTACAAACCTCTTGAATTTACCGTGCCCGAGAGACACGTCGAGCAGTGTTACATGAAGGTGAGAAGCTTAACTTTCTCAAGTGGAATTCAAAACAACGTGAATTTAACTTGATTTTTTTTCTCCTGTGTTTACAGGCCGTTTGTTTGCGGGAAGGCGAGCAGGAAGTTTTAGGTCTGCATTTTCTTGGGCCTAATGCTGGAGAAGTTATTCAGGGTTTTGCTGCCGCCATGAGGTACATATAGCTTTTAATAATCTGATGATTCAACAGTCTGATGATCGCTTTAAGCGTGGAATTCGAGTAACTGTGTACTAGTTTCTATCTTAATAATAAGTTCACAAGAAAGTTCACAAGAAAGTTCACAAGAAATGTTATGTTGAATACATAACGAATATTGTCTCGACATATCCCAAATTCTCAATCCGTGCAGTGCGACTACTCGAGCTGAGCCTCCTAGAAGAAAACTAACCAATCAAAACGTAAACTGAGAACAATCGACTGGTAGCTTCAATTGACGGCAAGTAACGGTCTGTTTGACGTGACAGCATTTAGCACTATCGACTCCGCTGTGTTATATACACTCTCAGAGATTCAGTCCTTGATGGCGAATTATTGCTGCGGAGCGAGCGTAGCGAGCGAGCAGCAACATAATCAGGATTTAAGAAGGATATATAGAAGGGGGTACGAATTCTCGAATTCAGCACTTTTTACCAGAATGCATTGCAGTTAACCAGACTGCACTGCGCCACTTTTACCGGAGTGCATTGCGCCTCGAACAACAAGAGGATGTCATACTCGTCAAGCCGTCGTCCTTTTTCGCGTGGATTCCACTGAGAAAGTTTGCTCTGATTTACCTGTAAAGCGATGTGAAGAAGATCGTGCTTGACTTTTACAAATCTTGCTATGCGGTATTTGAAAGTTTGTAAATCTGGACGATTAATTGTGACATCTTAATCTTAGTATGTCATTTCTCAGCAGTCTCGCCTCCTTCGTCGAATTCTTAAATGAAGAGAAATCGTCGTTACTAAAGCCTGTAGAATAATTAAAACAAACGAAAACSGTGGAACACGCTGATTTCATATATGCTGCAATCTATTCCTTTTCATCGAAACATGAATTTAAGCTAAAGCTTGAGCATTTTCACACATCGCGATGAACACGTTCTCGACACAGTTTGTCAAGTTCTAGAGATATTTAATCCGTACCAGTACAGAATTTATAAGTTAGATTTCTGCTCCTACAATTTCCACATCTTTCGATTTTCGCGATCTGGTAAAGGGGAGGTTGATGTGTATCATTTTATGTCCAAACATACCTCAGATCACAATGTGCTTTTTTGTCTCGATCCTTTGTCACACCTCGCCATCGATGCGCCATCATGCATGAAGTTGATGCATACAAGGACAGATTTTAATTGAAACCACGATTTGACACTACTTTGAGAAATAACAGTTAATTTAAGTCTTGAAACGCGCAGATAGATTAATCACGGCATAAAATATGTCACCGACAACAGAATGTGCCGCAGCATTACTATCTTTTAGATACCCTAGTAATTAAAAGTATAGAGTACAAACGAGCATGCAATAATTTATAAAAATCTAGTCATAATTATAAATCTCTCTCGAAAAATTTAGCTTGAAAACTCATTTTGCGACAATTAAATCGAACCGTTGAAAAGCGTACAAAATCTAGTAGTCGCACTCTACGGTTTGATAATTTTGGGATGTATCAAGACAATATTGGTTATCTGTTCAACATAACATTTTTTGTGAACTTTTCCTGACTTCGTGACACTGACATTTTTCAGTTTTAATGTATTCTTATACTTTTTTTCCTTGCTGTATTCGTTCTTTGTTTATAAGGTGTGGTCTAACTTACACCAATCTATCCTCAACTGTTGGCATACACCCGACATGCGCAGAAGAGGTGGTTAAGATGCATATCACCAAGAGGTCTGGTGATGATCCCACTGTGACGGGCTGCTGAGGATAATTTGCTCTCACTAACAACTGCGACCCGGAAAATTCCCACATTTCCTTGCAGTGCGCTATGATTTCTTGTACACGCAGCGTAATTAATTAGCTGTCAACCGTTTCAGTTTTTCGTGGCAAATGTATTTATTTCATACGCGAGTATTTTATCGTCACACGGACCCATTTGACGTGGCATTCATCTCTTCTGTTATCCAGCGAGAAATAAGCGCGTATTTTGTAAATTTTCATTAGTGTGCCGGAGATTTGCCAAATGTTATTATCCATTCAGAGCATAGTATGACTAACAAGTAGTCTCGCTTTGACGTCATGATGCTAAGCGACGTCTGCTAGGGAAAACCGCTGCCCAGTTTTCAAATCTTTGATTGGAAAGTCCAACCTCGATCCCAGCCTCTCTCTCCTTTGCCTTCCCTTCAACCTTTAATTTCAACCTTCAAGGACAAAGGAGATAAAGAAGAGAGAGCCTGGGATCGAGGTCAGTAAAAGCTAACCTCGTCCTCAGGATGCTTTGCGTTTAAAGAGAAGACTTCCCTGGAACAAGTTTGAACAGACATGGGCCAGAAAATGTGCTTCTTTCTTTATCGCGAGTAAGATGTAGTAAAAAATACGTGTCAAGTTGTGGTGGGTTCTTCCGGGAGCAAAGTGAGAGCAGAAACAATTTTTATCCCTGCAAGAGGAGAGCTTGTATTTATGACGAAAGGTTTTGAAATTGTGTATCACAAGAGAACCTTTCCGAATCAACGACAAGTAAATTTTTTTTATTCAGTAGAATGCTGTCTACTGTGAAAAGACAAAAGAACAAATAAGCAACAGAATATTGTAATGGTGAAGATAAATGCTAACTTGAATTGTAGTTTTCATGCAAGGCAGCTATTGACTGTTTCGTGTTTCGTGACTAATTTTGTAACAAAAATAAAGTTGAATTGGAAATACACCGTAGTTTGTACTCTCTGCGTTTGAGGTTTTGGGGACCTGTTTTCGAGAGGGGGAAGTTTTTGTAATTTTTCGGTGTCAGGCAGTTGGCTTAAGAAGTGGCAAGTTTTTACATTAGGTTTTGGTGATGTTTAAATTTGGCTTGCAACTTTCTCAGTGTGAATTTGACTAACTTCGTGTTTTAGAGGCCATTTCCGAGTTGGATTTTTTCTCTGTGTCAAAAAGAGTCTTCTGCGAAACCATAGGAGAATGGCTTCCCCCTACTAGTTCATTTTTATGCAAATCAAACTCATTTTCATACGAAAGGTTTTGTACCAGGACTCGTTTTGAAACAGGACTCGTTTTGAGGCACAACTAACTCGGAAATGGCCGATTCCTCTGCGCTAAACTGAACTGACCATATTTGGAGATGAAGCATGGTAGAAAAGACAGACATCCGTTTTCCTTTTAGAACGGCAGATAATTCATGGTAGGTCACATATAAACGCCTTTCCCTTTACTCCTTAAATGCTAACCACAAGCAAACAGCAGTAATTAAATGTTAACCGCAAGCAGACAGTAGTAAATAAATGCCAACTGCAAGTAAACACAATATTTAAATGCTAACCGCAAGTAAACGGCAGTAAATAGAAGCAAACTGCAGGGAGACTATATGGGTGGCCTACCATGAATTATATCCCCTTAGAACGAGTTGCCAGTTAACTCATGTCATTAATATGCTTCTACGTTAGGTGAAAATCGTGGGAGTGATGACTTCCTAAATAACTTCTTGTGCTGTGAAGCACTCAATTTTGTTTATTGCACGTATAGTGGAAACCCGCGTTACGGTCACCTCGTTATTACGGCCACTTTTTTGGTCCGGCGAAAAGCCCAGACATTTTCTTGTAAGAAAACCCTGTTAATACGGCCAACGGCCACTTTCTGAAATCCCAACTTGTAAAATCCTTTATAATTTTACCCCGTTTATACGGCCACTCGAACCAGTTATGTTCATCTTTCCATTAATTGTCATTATTTCATACACTGATTCAAGTTTCAATTTTTGCAAAATTATATCTACATTTCGCACAGTTGTTTAGAGGTGCAATTGTGATATATCAGTGAAGACGTTACTCAATTTAGACCAGTCGTGAGGTTTGACCCGTAAATTCAGCCACCTCTTTAACACGGCCGGCCAAATTTTCATGATCCGTCGGTGACCGTTTATTAAACGGGGTTCCATGTGTCTGAATGTCCTGAATTTATTTTTTAAACGGGTGTTGGATAGCTGTTGCCGGATTAATTTGACTGGAGACAGTTTTCAGCGCTCTGCCGGGGCCTGTCTAGATACTCTGTCTCTGCTTCAGCGGTGCTTCAAGCAGGAAAGTTTGGTTAAACATTACTTCCGATCCTTGGGTTTAGGGGAAGAGACGAAAGACACGCCCAAACTAAGCCCAGAGTTTCTCGCGCTTCAGCGCGGCCAGGTGGCAAAGCGCCAATCGGAAATACATAATTTGCGACGTGAAGCAAGCCTTAAATTTACCGGAAGCTCTAAATTCAAGTGCTTTTAAGCAACATAAACAAGATTTTCATGATACGCAGTGTAGTAACAATTCTTTGAGAACCAATGGAAGCAGTTCCAGGAAGGATGAAATAGAATTCAAACATCTACAGCGCAAGCTTCGATAAAAGGACTGTACGCGCGCACCCAACAGACGGGAAAGATCTCTTTAGATGCAAATGGCTGTTGTCGGACGTTATTTCGTCTTCGCTGTTTTGCTCCAACCATGGATCATCCCTACGCTTGTGTTTAGTCAGCAGAGATGCCTCGGAGGATTCGATGTTTACTTCATTCTTGACAAGTAAGTCTGTGGTGCAGAAGTTGAGTTCTGACACGTTTAGATTCGATTTGTTTTCTAATTAAGCTTATATTAACTTCATTCATGCAGAAACTTTGAGAAATTACCCTGTTTATGTGGCAGTTATCATTTTTTTTTACGGTTGTATGTTTATTCGTGGGTCCCAACATTTCCATTTTTCACAGAAGGAATGAATCTAGTCACTTTCAATTTAATTGTGACAAACGCTGTAAGTGTTTGAATAAATGGCTGTATAGTAAACATGCTTCAAAGAGGGATAGATTTTCTGTTTCAAAAACCTGATAATTTTACAGAAAAGCAAATTAACTTGTTGAGCCAGAAAATTTCCATATCCCACCCACAGGGATTTTGGGTTTGACTTCCCCCCCCCCCCCCCCCCCCCCCCCTGGATGGTCAACTGGCATGGACTCCCCGATTCTCTCCATTTTTTTCACACAAGAGGCAATCTTTTGCTCACTCGCTTGCTTGATATCGCCACTTGGAAAATGAAACGAAATGTCCTGCTACACAGGCTAGAAATGTGACTGATTTCCTCCGTTAATTTATTTCCCTGCGACCACCCGCTACCCNCTTTTAATAATTTTGACATTTGAGATGCCTCACCCCCTCAGAATAATATTTAAAGCGACCTGCTACAGGGGGGGTATGGATATTTTCTGGAACCTCACATCTATAATTAGCCCCCAGGTATGCATCCAAGAGTAAGGGAAGGGCTCAGGTGTATAAAAAGGACAGGGGTGCTTGGTGTATTTTAGGGGTTAGAAAAGCAGTTTTGGTACATCTAAGGGTGTTCAGCCTGAAAAGGTCCACAGTAGGAGCTTTGGCAGAATTTTTTAGGTAATTGAGTTGCAAAAAAATATGATAGGAGATAATGGGCTGTTTTAGATTTGGTACCTCTTAGCACTAGGTGAAAAAAATTTCAAGTCACGCCCGCAAAACTGTATCTTGTCTTCTTAGGGGTTCTTTTCAAAATTTCTGACGAGCTCCCCCATGCTTTTTATATGGGATTCCTCCCCCCCACCCGCCTCCGGGGCTTCAGCTTCCCATCAGCCATATTCGTTTCTTTTTGTAACTGAGAAACAAGTGAATGATTAAGAACAAAGATCAAAGAAATCTGTCTGGCTCTTCAAATTCTTGCAATGACCAAATATATAAAGTCACACAGTCCTGAGGGAAAATTATCATGCTCATCAACAATAGTTTTATATTTACCATTTCTTTTGTACTGTTCAGATCAGGAAGTGTTCTGCCCAAGTATTTCAAAGGTCAGACAGTTGACTTTGTGGAAAAGACAGCAGAGAATTTTGTCGGGTAAGTTAAGATGGAAGAAAGTGGGACTAAGAAATCGTTAATTGACAGAAGTAATTCTTTTAAGGTAGACATTCTGTTAGTGTTAAGAACAAATCAATGCTGATCCCCACATTATTACAAAAGACCAAAATATTTAACCCAGAAATGCTGGAATGCAAGAGTAAAAAAATTATGCTGAAAAAAACAAAACATGGAATTGAAACAGAAAAACTAAACATCTCAAGATCACTGAAGCGATGTTATTTCCTACCTCAATGCAACTACCCAGTCATGATTGTGCACAAAAAGTTTCCATTTGGAAAGAATAAATCTACTATGTCAGGGATTTGAAATAAGTCACCATTTCCCTTAGCCTGGTACCTAGGCTCAATATTAATTTTTTCTATATTTCAGGAAAGGAGTTCGATTTTCCTTTATCACATTTTCGTCAGACACTAAGGTTGTTATGAAATTGACAGGTGACAGGTATCTGTTTGTTTGTTGTTTTTTGGTGTGTTTGTATACTCGCTTGTTTTTTGTTTTCATTTTCTAATCTGTGTTTGACATCTGGATTTAAACAGTCCCTCACCAGCTAGGCAAGTCCTTCTCATATTGTACTTCTTTCTTTCGATTTTCCTTCCCTTTTTTATTTTGTTAATTTTGATAATGACTTACTATTTTTAATATGATTTATTTATTTTATTTATCTGCAATTTACTTGTTTGCTTACCTTTTTATTAATCTATTTATATTTATTTATTTATGTATTTATTTTAATAGGTTTAATACATGTACTTATTTTTGCTGTTTTTAAGAGCTAAAATCAAAGAAGGACTTAACAATTTGAGAAAAGTGCAGACAGGAGGAGCCACATATATGAGTAATGCTATCATACAGGTATGACATACAGTAAGCTATTTTAAGTAAGCTCTTTATAAATAGTTGTTACATGTCATGGTCTCTGGTTACACAGTACTAGCGTGGGGAATGTCATGTTTTAATACAGAATCTGTTTTTGGTTCAAAATACAGTTTTATTCTTTAAATTTTAGATTAACGAAAAAAGATAATAATTAACGCCCCAGTTTTAAACTTGGGAGAGCCTCCTTGACATGCCTCATTAATTCTTCAACCTTAAGGTACCAGTCACCCAACCGCCTTGAAAAATTGAATATGCCCCTGTACTACCTGCCCCGCCTACCCTTACCTACCTAGTCATCATTGATAGCTTAGAATGACAATCTTCTACACATGTACATAATTGTGTACTAATTAGTTTCAGACATATGGAATTACAGTCAGTCAACAGTCAGAGTTTCACAAATATTTTCTCATGTTTTGACTTGTTTTGGTTTCTTGAATTTTTTTCCATTTTTGTTTTTTTGTGTGTGTTTTTTGTTTTTGGACCAGGCAAATAATCAAGTAAAAGATCAAGCCAGTGAGTTGTAATAATCATAACTAAATAAAACAACCATGATATCAAAATAAACAATTCATTCATTTTTTAGCACCCATCATTGAGTTATGATGTACACAGGGATTTTGGAGAGCTTAGCATGAAAGAAGTGACAGAGTTGCTCTTAGCAGAGCTGTGAGCAACTTTAGCTTCTTGAGTGCACTCCAAAGTTCCTGTGTAGGTCATAACTTGATGCACAGCTATGTAATGTATATAATGTTGCCATTGGAAACAGAGAAGTAAATTAGTTAACTTTTCTCATTCCTTGAGCATGCATCATCGTACACTGATGAAAGCTTAAATATATACTGAGCTACTGTAAATAAACACAAATCTTTGCAGCATGGGAACGTTCTAACATCTCATTGAAATGAGACTCTTATGTATGGTAACTGTTCAAAGAATCGTTGGTCTTGATTGTTTTCCAGTTTTTGTTCAGCAATCCATGCAGGTTTTTCCTTGATCTTTCTTCATCAGCAGCTGCAGTGTGTATATCATTCTTTCCTGATTGTGTATATATTATTGCGTTCAATTATAGAAAGTCAGTCAGCATTTAGTATCTTCATTATTCTGACAGACGGCAAAATTGACGACATAGGCGCATCAAATGAACAGGTTTGTGACTTCTATTATTATAATAACAATGTTGATTCGGATGTGCAGCAATTAGTGTAATGCCTTATGGACAGTCAAGAGTGCAGTTTAGCTATTGTAGTTCATTTGAGCAATGGCTGGAACAATTTAATCTGGCAGTGCTTCCTTACACTCAGGTGTATAAATATTGGTACCAGCAAATTGTTCGCGCAACGTGACAGAATGCTTGTGGGGATTAACATGAGATGGACTAGCAGCCTGTCCAGGGAGAGTTGGAATACTTCTAGCAGTTTGGCCACTCTTCTCCAAGCACAAATTTATTTACTGTACCTTTTAGGATGCGCAGTGGCCTCAGTGTTAGAGCAGTCTGACTTGGAGCTATGGCCAGGGACACTGTGCTGTGTTCTTGGGCTAGACACTTTACTCTCACAGTGCCTCTCTCCACCAGCATCCCATCCGGAGGAGAGTAGAAATACTCCTGGTTGCTTCATGTTACAGAAACCAGAGATAAGGGCTGATCTAATGGGCCACTTGGCTCATATGCAGACTTTACCCATGGTTACATGTACATGAACCCTTTAGAGATTGACTTGAACATACGGTGTGTTAATCCACAATTTACATCTTTATTTCATTTTAGTCCAAGAGAGCAAAGAAAGCTGGAACAATAGTATATGCTATTGGAGTTGCATTGTATGATATACAACAGGTACATCTTTAGAGCAAATATGTCATCTATTCGAAAAAAATATACTGTGTTGAGCTCTTGCATTGAGCACTTGTCCTGTTCAAAATCAGGCTGACTATTTTAACCAATACCTGTTCAAGTCTTTTTTTCATGCCTACACAGTTCTTTAGCCCAATTGCAAAGGAAGGCATTTTTGATAGCCCATGTCTGGTGGATTCTGTCATTCACTCGCCAAAATTGGGCAAGTGAAGAGTCTTTTGGGAAACATTTGAGAAATTCAAATTGCAGAAAGACAGTGTTAGTAACTAAAGAGGTCACATGATTGTAAGTTTAAATTCATAGTGAGAAAATTCCTTCAGGTTAGAGAAAAGGACTAAGAACATTCTACTTAATTACATGTAGCTTGCCTGGCAAGTGGAAAAGTTTTTTCTTAGTAGTCTTGAGTTCAACCTCTCTGCCATGCTTAAGTTTTCATTCAGCCAGCCAGTCAATGCCTCTTATAGTCCAGTTGGTATACTTTGACATGTTTATTCAAAATATTTGTTTGGTTCATGCCAAGAGCTATACAGAAGTTCATGTCATATTGAAAAGTTTCTTTGTCTCTATTGTTGCAGCTGAATATCTTGGCCAGCAAGCCGCCACAGGATTTTGTGATGACAGAACCAAGCTATTTAACTTTGCTGAATCTAACAAGTGCTGTAAGTAAAATATATTTTTTAATATTCGATGTAATATTGTATAGTACTGTTAGTAGTAAGTTCCTGTATTTACTTTTTACTTCTCAAAAATGCGAACACCATTTTGATTGTATTGCATTTATACTAGTTATGCAACAATTTTGAGTGGCATACCATGAAATATCCACGGGTCACTTGTGTTTTCTCGGCATACACACAAGCCTTTTAGGCAAGTGTGTATGCCAAGAAAATACAAGTGGCAATATTGGGATATTCCACGGTGTACCACGAGAGAACATTGCATAACTATTTTATACCATGCCATAGAAAACACAGTGGCCAGCACAATCAATGTGACATATGCGCAGCGCATGATGGAAAGGTTGGATGTAACACGGTTGATCATACAACGGCTTTCCTGTATTCTTATTGGCTCTATTTTACATCTAATGGCATCATATAAATACTTGCAGCTATTAGAAAGCGGTGAGAGCAACTTCTTTAAAGAGGACACTAGAAAATGCTCACAGGGGTACATGCTAAACAAAAAGTTTATTTGTATAATTATATTTTTCCTTACTCTAAACCCTTAAAAAATTGTGTACTTTTGACCACAGGTTACAAACAGGACCTGTGTTGAAATCACATCAGTCAATCCCCAGCAAGCCTGCTTAGGCGGTAAGTAGGTGGTGTTATTTCCTATTAGCGCCGACAAAAGTTTAAAACGGAAGAAATCGTACAGTGTGGTGGGGCCAGAACAATTGAACGTCACATAGTGTAGTGATAAGTTTAGTATGTGGGTTATTTTAGGCAGTTCTCAAACTCATTAATAATTCATCAAGTTAAAACAAAGGAAATCACAACCGTGATTTAATTAGCATAGATTTTGATGAATTTACTTCTCCATTTATTCCTTACGTGTAGTTTTTGTTTTCATTGCGAACATATATCAAACACTCGAGATAGTGATTTGTTGGTTATCCAAACACCTTGTATTCCATCAAAAATACTCCACTGCATGTCATACATGTATTTTCAACTCTCTTCTCGGTGTTTGGGTACCCCGATGAAACACTGTCTCTCGTGTTTTATATATAACTGAAACAGTATATGATTGGTTCACTGTCAAATTATTTGGCAGGAGGTGCTAGTAAGTCAGACTAATACTATACAGTATGCATTAGGCATATCATATATAAAAAATGATCTGAAAACATGAGTTGAAAGTCTTGAAAAGATGTCCAACAGCGAGAAGAAAAGCAATCACAACACTGCTCTTGCATGTACTAGTTGTTCTTCTTCAATACTGTCCTCAACATAAAACCCATGTAGTTTGTTAAACAGAACATAAAACAAAATCCATGCCTGCTTTTATTTTTGGTTCAAATATAATTTTAATAAACTATTATTACAAATAATTACAATTGTATTGGGTGACAACACCTAACATTGCACTGTTAATACTAATAAAAGTAGTCATGTTTCATTTTTCAGTCGGGAAGTTTCATAATAAAACAGTCGACCAGAAAAAGTGTCCATGTGTGGGAGGTGTCCACTTTTTGGGACCATTACTAAGTGTCCACTTAAGAGAGCTCTCCGCTTATGGGAGGTTAAGAATGCATTGTTTGTATGTGGCTGGGACCATTACTAAGTGTCCACTTAAGAGGGGTGTCTGCTTATGGTACGTTAAAAATGCAATGTTTATATGGGCAGGGACAAAATACCAAGTGTTCCCTTAAGAGGGGTGTCTGCTTATGGGTAGTTAAAAAGGCAGTGTTTGTATGTAGCCTGCAGTGCAGACGTCTTATTGGGGCGAGTTAGCGTTACAACCTTGCGACCGCCATGTTAGACGGTGGGGAATTTTCTTCGCCCCACCCCCTCCCCTATCCTTCCTCTTGCCTATCATTCACCCCCTTGGTAAAACTTTCTTTCTCATTCCAGTCTTCCACTGCATGAAAAATTCAAGATGGCGGCTAAACTTTTTACGATGTGAGCGCTCGCTCGAAAAAATCTCGCCTGCTCTGCAGGCTAGTTTGTATGTTGCTGGGACCATTAGTAAGTGTCCACTTACATGAGGTGTCCACCAGTAGAGGTTCCACCGTACTAATAGTTCTTTGTGTTAATTCTGCAGAAAGCAACACGGTCACGATGTACGGGCGTGGGTTTGAGAAGTTCAATTCCGCTGAGTCGCATTCTGTTCGGTGTGGCTTCAAGTTTAATAACACGTATCGTCAAGGTATGCTGTAATGTAAAACAATAATGACAACAGAAAGTCTGGTACAATCCAACTCCTTCAATTCAACACCAGGAAATTTGCACAATTCAGCTTTTCGACAACCACTAGTCACTCCGAAACGGTCATGACTACAGATGCGGATTTTTTTCCATACAAACCTACCAACTGGGTTTATGAGATATATATTGTATATGGCGATAAAAACAGAGAAACTATGAATAACCTTGAATTTAATGGTTGAAATTGCTGTGCATTGTATTTACAATCAAATTGAAAAACAAAGTGATTCTTTTTGTTCGAGTTGTGCTCGTTCAGTATTTACTCTCAAATTAAATGTTCTGATTTTCTTTCTTTCCACAAACAGTAACAAAAGCCAGTTTAGTTGAAGAAAACCGACTTGTTTGTCCTGTGCCTGTCTTGAACAACACTGAAAGGTAAATAACACAAAACCAACAAAAAGATGTCAAAGTTTAGTTTGACAGATATCCTATGATATACGTAGTTTGCCTTTTTTAGAGGAGCGTTTAAGAAGGCTTGTGTGAAATCTTTCACAGTGGCGCGCAGATTGCAGTTTCCCTTTCTGTAAAAATGTGTTTCGCTGACAATTTGTTGCAAAAATCAAATAAAACCTTGCAGAATACTGTATCTTGTCGCCAGGATTGTCACGGGTCAGGAAATGATCAGGGAAAAAATTCTTTATGGTCAGGGTAAAGTCAGGGAATTTTGTTTTGAGTCAGGGAAAATTGACATTTTGAAGAAAAGTCAGGAAAAATTGAAATAATTTAACATAGCTGACGTAATGCCATTGAAGGCTAGAAGAAACATTTGGGGTCACTGTGATCTCAACGATATTTTTCCTTAATGGAGAAGGAAAATTTGTTGAAAACTTATCCGTCTTATTAATGAACGAGTGGAAAGGGCGGCTGTACACTGAGGCTAGTAACTACTACTAGATTTGAGATTTTGTATTTATTTGGTCAGGGAAATTTTATTTCAAACAGGGGAAAGTCACGGAATTTTGAAAAGTGATGTGTGTGGCAACCATTTTTAACTTCGTAATTTCGTCACGATGGAGTATGAAGCGATATTCTGCGCGATTTCACGGCATAAATGTTAATTAAATCTCACTTTCTTTGTTTTTCAGTGTTCTTATGTTGCTAGTTTCATTGAACAGTGGACAGACGTTTGTCTCCAGCAATGTCAATATCACAGCCAAAAACTGCACAAAAGTGGAAAACGGCACAAAACCAGACACAGAAAAGGATAACGGAACAGGAAGTGGAGGCGAAACCAAACCAGAGGTGAGGAAACTTGCCCTAGGTTGATGATCTATATATATTCATGGCCCGTCTGCTTGGTAAAGTGCTTATATTGTAAAGAAAAATGATTTAATGGTTCCTCCTGGGAAGTAACTTATTGTGGAGGTTTCTTAAGGGTGCTCCGGCTAAATTTGTAACCGCGGATTGCCTTTTCGTATGGACCCTTTGCATAAATAGCGCCTGACTTTGAATGACAATACTTATACACTACTTATACACCCCAGACGGGCACGTCAAAATACGGCACAACTCGTAAAAATATACATCGATACTACACACCAGAACATCTAATAAGATATATGTGCTCACGGCCGTGCGTATATAACATGACGTGTGAAGTTTCAATTTAACTGCAAAATTTCCGTCGAGTTTAGTGAAAGTTCCTTTTGTTTAAGTTTAGGAAAAGTGAAGATTATTCTGAACAATCCAAACTCTACTTCGAGCCTTTGACTTTTCGGCTTTTCGGCAAGCTAACATGTTTACTTGAACCTGAGTATTTTGACTTTGTTTGTCTACATTTTCATTGAGTATTTTTGACTTTGTTTGCCTACATCTTCATTATTATTAATTCGAAGAAGCGAATTTTTCGTTGACAATTCTAGAAACTAGGTTAAGCGTTTCTGTTCAACCTTTGCTCAACTTATTTTAGCGTGATAGGATCCTAATGAACTTTGTTTTCCTTCACCGTGCATTGTGAAAACTTTGTAGTCAATCACAAGTAAAACATGTTTTAGCGCCCAAGTTGTTGTCGCTATGTTATAAAAGAATGGGTTCATGCTTTTAGCTGTACGTACATCGAGATATGGATGCACTCGGTAAGTTTGGAGAGCACTCAAGAAGCTAGAGTTGCTCTCGGCCATCGCCTCGAGCAACTCTTACGCTTCTTTCGTGCTCTCCAAACTTCCCGCGTATATCCATAACTCGATATATGCACGCTAAGCGCTAGCATGAACGAATTCTTTAATTATATTTGTTTAATTTTTTCCTATTCTTTCGTCGTTTTCCTTGCTGCCCGAACTCCTGGAAAGAGCTATCGCAAGGCACACTGAAGGTACCGGATCGGGCAATGAATAAAATTGGCATTTTTGTGGATTTACGTTGCCGGAAAACTAATACATGCACAAAATTTATTGCCAATTTATTAATACGTAAGGAGAAATTGAGTTTGTAAAAACAATGTTCCAGTCAAAATGAAAACAATAGATTGATCGACTTGAATTAGTTCACGTTTTCTATAAAANCGCGTGACATGCATTACCTTATTGATCTGTCGATTGAATACCCCCGCTGATAGACTACGAGTAGTCCCTGTTTCGCTTGGTCCGCCGTGCCAGATAAAAAAAAAAGTTTGCGCGAAATCCTGGGAGCGGGAAATCCTCGCGGTTTAATGACGGTCTCGCTCAACGGACTAAGTGAAACAGGGGCTACTTGTCTACTTCACTGACACTCGTCAGCCATGTCGCTTTATAAGCATTGTTCACGTAGACTCGGTAGTCAACTTCAAGGGAGTTTTATATGTTAGGCACTTGAACGCATGTAAAATTTATGTTTATATGTGGACGAACGACATTTTAGAGTTCACTTGTTCTCAACTGTTCATACAACTTCCAGTATGAAACTGTATTGACAAAGGTTTCTCTGTGTATCATGGTCTGCTCAATTGTTGGTTTGTTTCGTTCCAAGACATTTTTATTTGTCCTCATTTAGGCATCAGGCAGAACAAAATGGCCGACTGTTAACGCGTCATTTTACGGTGGTGGAACTGCTGGAGGAATTGTTCCCGTCAGGGTGAGTGTTGGGCTCCCTCCAGGGTTAGTTTTGGTCTCCCGTCAGAGTCAGTATTGGGCTCCCGTCAGGGTGAATGTTGTGCTCCCGTCAAGGTTAGTATAGGTCTCCCGTCAGGGTGAGTGTTGGGAGGCGTGTTGACCTCAGCTGATGGTTCGACGGGAGCCTTATGTTGTGTTCTTGAGGCAACAAATCTCAGTATCCCCTCTACCCAGCAATATTAGGAGGTATTTTTGTTTGTTTGTTTGTTTGTTTTCTTTTTTGGGGGGGGGAGGGGGTGTAGGTGGAATAGGCTTGTCATGACTTGGCATCTATCAAGCCAGCAAAGAAACAAAGAATTCAGACAGTAGTGTATTACTGACAGTACGTCTAAACATAGTTTCTCCTGTAGCCAGTTGAAGGACTGTCTATATTCAACATTGATCAGCAATGTTTGACTTTGCAGGTGGACTGGGGAGACAAGGGGTCGACGGAGGCTGGGGCGAGACTCGCTAAGGCTGAGGTAGGGTAGCGAAATCTGTTTAGATGCTTTACGTTCCTTTTTACTTTTCGCCGGAAGAACCCATTCCTAGCGGGCTGTTTGTGTTGCGAAGTGGAGTAGATCTTTTACCTTATTTTTTTATGATTTCTTGAGAAAATTGCAAAAATTCAACAGCAATTTTTACCAGACACCCTATTCATAAATGGCTGCCAATTAAAAATTCTCTTGTAAGTATTAAAATTAGCCGAACTAACCTCGTTTTTGAGTTGATAACTCAAAAGAATTTTTATTCTCAAACGAGGTTAGTTGGGCTAATTTAAATGCACACAAAAGAATTTTAAATTGGCAGCTATTTTTAAATAGGATCTATTTGTGTTCAGCGATTATTCACCATTGCATTTTCGACTTGCTGCTTTGTTTAAAATTAAAGACAATTTGCTAGCGTCCAGTGAACATTAATTCATCCCCAAAACACTCACCTCTGTAATAAATATCCATCTATCAGCTCCCCTCCCCTCTTAGATGTTAAAAATACCCACTCACCCTATTAGGGGTGATTCTCTCTATAATTATAATACATTTTTGGTGAGGGAGCTGGGCAACTACCAAAACAAATAAATTCCTGCACAGAAAAGTGATTAACGTATCGTACATAGCGAGCCACGCAAAAATATTCTGACAGACGGCAAAATTGACGACATAGGCGCATCAAATGAACAGGTTTGTGACTTCTATTATTATTATAACAATGTTGATTCGGATGTGCAGCCATTAGTGTAATGCCTTACGGACAGTCAAGAGTGCAGTTTAGCTATTGTAGTTCATTCGAGCAATGGCTGGAACAATTTAATCTCGCAGTGCTTCCTTACACTCAGGTGTATAAATATTGGTACCAGCAAATTGTTGGCACAACGTGACAGAATGCTTGTGGGGATTAATATGGGATGGACTAGCATCCTGTCCAGGGAGAGTTGGAATATGTCTAGCAGTTTGGCCACTCTTCTCCAAGCACAAATTAATTTACCGTACCTTTTAGGATGCACAGTGGCCTCAGTGTTAGAGTGGTCTGAATTGGAGCTATGGCCAGGGACATTGTGTTGTGTTCTTGGGCTAGACACTTTACTCTCACAGTGCCTCTCTCCACCAGCATCCCATCCAGAGGGGAGTAGAAATACACCTGGTTGTTTCATGCTACAGAAACCAGAGATAAGAGCTGATCTAATGGGCCACTTGGCTCATATGCAGACTTTACCTATGGTTACATGTACATGAACCCTTTAGAGATTGACTTGAACATACAGTGTGTTAATCCACAACTTACATCTTTATTTCATTTTAGTCCAAGAGAGCAAAGAAAGCGGGAACAATAGTATATGCTATTGGAATTGCATTGTATGATATACAACAGGTACATCTTTAGAGCAAATATGTCATCTATTTGAAAAAAATATACTGTGTTGAGCTCTTGCATTGAGCACTTGTCTTGTTCAGAACCAGGCTGACTATTTTAACCTATACCTGTTCAAGTCTTTTTTTTTTGTGCCTACACTGTTCTTTAGACCAATTGCAAAGGAAGTCATTTTTGATAGCCCATGTCTGGTGGATTCTATCATTCACTTGCCAAAATTGGGCAAATAAAGAGTCTTTAGGGAAACATTTGAGAAATTCAAATTGCAGAAAGACAGTGTTCGTAACTAAAGAGGTCACATGATCGTAAGTTTAAATTCATAGTGAGAAAATTCCTTCAGGTTAGAGAAAAGGGCTAATAACATTCTACTTAATTACATGTAGCTTGCCTGGCAAGTGGAAAAGTTTTTTCTTAGTAGTCTTGAGTTCA